TTCTCAATAAGGGGTAAAGCCTGCTGACTCTTACACTGTGTGTCCATCTAAATATGATGATAGACTGGAATTAGGACAAGATTTCTCCATCGGATGAGAAGAAACAAAAGATGAGGTCAACTATGCAGGTGGTGAGATCAGAATTGAACAATTTGATGATCTCAACTTACCTCCAGGGCTTTACAATAGCATGAGTCATATCTTTTCCATAGTTCCTGTCAGGTACTTCAATGACTCAGTATCAACAGCAGGTTCTTAACTAGATTCAGCTTTATTGATCAGAGTAAGTTGAAGTCGACTTGGACTCTTTGAGTCAGGAATGACGCATACAAAATGGCAATAGTAACTATAGTGGGTTCATACAACACCCCCTGACACCTAGAGGCCAATAAGCAATGAATACAAAATGCGGGGAAACGTCTAACGATTCAGGGGTGAGCGGGAGAGTCAGAGGCATTCGCGCCTAAGCGATGAGCACTCAAGGCCAGCAGGCAGATAAGGAGCTAAACCAAAACGCAGCTGCAGAGCAAAGCACATTCCAGCAGAAGGGGAAATAATCTCATGGCGGGACTACCCGACAGTTGCATGAGACAACACTGCTGTAGACCCTGCTACCATACTACTGAAAGATCATGGACAAGCGCAACTTGAAGATTGATGTTCTAGACCCCTTCTAGAATAGTCTTTGGTGGTAGACAAGGAGATCTCACCTTTCCAACAGGAAACTCTACCTAACACAAGGACAGCTCGAAGTACCTGAAGATACCAGCCTCCAGGGCTGGGGTGCACTTGTTATGTGGGATTTCACCCAAGGTATCTTGTATGAGAAAGACAAAGCTGACACTAAAAATTGACTAGAGCTAATTTCCTCCCCCCTGATCTGCCACGTGCTAGACAGGATGTGTAATATTACCAGTGAAGTACATACCAGTAGACTTCCAGGGAAAGGGAAGCAAAATCGAAACTCCTGTATGAGCAGATGTCCATCCTGATAAGTAGGCAGTTATCCATTTCTCTCTGCAGAACCCATACAAGGACAGAAGGATAGCCAAGTGGGCTGGTTCAGTCATCAGCTGATAGATCAGAATGAGTGAGCTTCCAAACCTAGCAATTGTTTAGGACAAAGATCAGATATGGGACTCCCAATGTAAATCTTTTTGTTGCAGACCTGAATCATGAGACCAAAAGATTTTTTTACCTAGCTCGAGACTTGGGAATGGAATTTGATGGATGTCCTGCTGTCTCCCTGGTTCCCCCAAAGCCTTTCCATTTTTACCCCTTATTCCCAGCCAATGAGGAAATGGAGGAAAGAAGATGATGAACCTGTGTATTGTTGCATTTTGGCCCTATAGGCACGGTTTAATGGAGATGGCCATGACGAATCCATGGAAGATTTCAGTAGGGCCAGATGCAGTGTATCCCAGGGGTTTAGTCTACACCCGGACCCGGCTTGTCTGCAACTAACTTTCAGAAGATTAAGTAGAAATACTTGGTATGTCTAGACTACGTGGAGCAGGTAGTTCAGGTCATGCTCTAAGAGGTGTTCAGCATCTAGGATGTATCTGCACCTTGTGCAGTTCCGCAGGGCCTGTAAGACGGAGCTCTTCCGCCAGGCCTTTGAGTAGGAGCCGCCACTATTCCACCATTGTGGCATTGTCCTACTGTTGTTTCCATCATATAGGGCACTATCACCTGGCAGAATGCGCGTAGAACAGCGCTACTGGAGACCGCGCTAGAGACAGCTGGCCGCCGCACTGGGTTCACTGATCCCGTCTTGGGTGAATTATATGTAGGAAGACTAGAGCACTTTAAATATTGTATGGTTTTATTGTGTGTTTTAATGTGGTTTTGTTTTATTGTATTTTATCTATTTAATGCGGCTTTTGCCGTATGTTAGCCGCCCTGAGCCGTTGGGAGGGCGGGATATAAATCTAAAAAAAAATAAATAAATAAAATATAAGCTGGACTCATTAAAGGATGCAATCCAGAAGGGTCTTCTGTTTCCACAGACTGGCCTAGAGCAGAGGCTGTGTGCCAGTGCTCTACGCAAGCAACAGCAGCGCTGGCAAAAGTGCTACTGCTCCTTGACGGGGCATCCACATACTACATGCTTTCTATGAGATGACTCACCAATCCCTCAGTGGTGCACCATTTCCCTTCCTGGTGACTCTAGTTCTGAGAGTGCTCACTGAACATCCATTTAAACCCATTAGAGAAATCTCTTTGAAAAGGTCACCACTTCAGAGAACTTTTCCTTGGTAGCACTGCAGTGTGCCACAGTTACTAGCTTGGGCCATCAGAAGCGGAGTCCGCCTTTCATAAGGTTAGTACTAAGAACAAAGCCAGCATTTCTGTCCAAGGTCAACTGCTCTTTTCGCTGTTCTCTGAAAATGTCCTCCCTCTTTCTGTCTGAAGCAGAGAGTCATTCCAGGGTGAAATCGTGGCATACCCTTCGATGTCCATGAGGCACTGAGGGTTTATTTATGCACGTCGGCTTCCGTCAGACAGTCTTGTTAATTGTTTCTCACATCATCTGTCTATGATATGAAGAAAACGTTCTGCGCTGTGTGTCTCTCCAGACCTACTTTAAGCAGATGGCTAAGGGAGCATATCGGGCAGGTCTACTGTGCACAGAAGACAGTGATTACAGCCCACTCTGTTTATAACACTGCTAACATGTGTGGTGACTCAGATGCTTCAGTAGAAGACACCTTCAAGGAAGCTACACGGACTTCAGCCTCAACACTGTATGGTGCCATAAAAGAAATATCCTTACCTTGTCTGCTGCAGACAGAGTAAGAAAGAAATATTGACTTACCATGAATTTTCCTTCTACTCAGAGGTAGGGAGGTCATATTGCCTAGCATTTAATTAAGGGGATGGTTAATATAGCTAGCTGGTTTTCCCCGACCAAGCTTCTTTTCTGCTCATTTTAGTTTTCCTATACATCTTATTTGTTTCCTTGGTCATCATAGAATCATAGAGTTGGAAGGGACCTCCAGGGTCATCTAGTCCAACCCCCTGCACAATGCTGGAAATTCACAAATACCTCCACCCCACACCCCCAGTAATCCCTGCTCCATGCCCAGAAGATGGCAAAAAACTCTCCAGGATCTCCAGCCAAACTGGCCTGGAGAAAAAAATGCTTCCTGACCCCAAAGTGGCAATCAGCATTTCCCTGGGCGTGTAAGAAAGGCCCACGAGAACTAAGCACTGATGTGACCCTTCCTGCCCTCCCTTCTCGTGATCTGCCCATTTTCACAGAATCAGCATTGCTATCAGATGGCCTTCTTGCCTCTGCTTGAAAACCTCCAAAGAAGGAGAGCCCACCACCTCCCGAGGAAGCCTGTTCCAGAGCTATATGTGTCATCAAGTGTCAGCAGTGCCTTTCCACTCTCTACGTTGGATACAAAAGAATAAATGGGCATCAGTCTGACATAAAAACATCACAGCACCCAAAAACCAGTGGGAGAACATTTTAATCTTCCAGGACATCCCACTGCTGACCGAAGAGTAGCAGACTTCAGAGGAGCGTCAAGGGGAGATCACAACGCAAGATTACTGAACTCGCGTTCATGCACGGAATTCAGAACAATGGACTCCCCAGGGCTGAGTAGGGACATAGGACTCTTACTACTGGTGCTAATTTTCTCCCCTGCTCTAATCAAGATCGATTATCTTTTGCACGGTACCTTTGTATCCTGACTCCCTTCCTTTGCAACACCCCTCTCCACCTTCTGACTGGGACAGAAGGACTCAGGGGTCTCCATTCCTACTTGTGTCTGACGGAGAGGAGCCCTGACTCTGGAAAGCTGATGCCCTGAAAATCATGTTGGTCTCTGAGGAGCCATTGGACTCCATTCTAGCTCCTCTGTGCATAGTTTATTTACGGTTTCAATTTTCAGAGTGGGTTTTTTTTTTTTAATTAATGGAAAAGTCACTTTTTTGTTTTGTTTTTGGCTTCGGAAGATTAAAGGTGGGAGTCGCCTCCTGGCCCGGCCCGATGGGAGGAATCACCCCGTGCCAAAATGCTGTCTTCCTCAGAGCAGGAAGAACCCCTCACAGCAGTTCCAGCGTCCCTTCCTCGGTTTTCTGTGGTGTTGATTTAATGCGATTTTGTACAGTTATGATTTGTTAGACGCCTTGAATGTAATAATGGGAAAAGCAGGCTGTTGCAGTAATAAATAAAGAAGCAGCCACATATATCAGCCAGGTACGCTAGGTTGGAATCGACAAAGCGCAACCACAGCTGCGCTTGTCAATCTTTCCTGCCATAGCTTTGGGCTTGGCATTCTTAATAGGCGGCCCCTTTGAGCAAGGCTAACGAGAGTCTCCAGTCCCACATGGATTCTGCCCCCCACATTCGGAAGAACACATACAGGATGCTTCATTTGAACAACTGCGCTGCTTCATTTCCCCAGCGGCACCTTGCCCAGCTCCCTAGGTGACCCGAGCGCCTGTAATTCTGTCCTGCTGAGTCCCCCCTGCCGGGCAATCGCCCCGCCTCAAAGTCAAACAGCAGAACTGCTTTAAAATGCAGAAGGGGTCTTGGGAACACAGTTTGTGATAGGGCATCAGGAGTGGCTCCGCTGTTCCGGGGGGGGGGATAAAAAAATCTCAATGGGCATGCCTCTAATAGCTCTTTGGATCCCAGCCTTTGAAAACTTGGATGTTGGAAGCAGAGTCAGTGTTGTGAAACAAGCAGATGGCAGAGGGAGAAGCTTGTATTGCATAATTTATTCGGCCTTTGGAATCCAAATTTCTTTGGCCCAGGTGTTGGGTTTACCTCAGGCAAAATTTGGATGTTGTTTCATTTTTGATCACAGCGTAAGCCAAGCTGTGATGATGGGGATTCGCCGGTCCACTTCAGCAGGGGAGAAGGAGAGATCAAGCTCGCTCTAGACTTCCTGATTTAAATGGTCCATCATTAAAAGTGAAGAAGGTGGGATAGTTTGATATACCACCTGTGTGAAAGAATCTTCTTTTTTTAATGCTTACAGATTCAAATAGGCTAGAACGACAGCTGGAAGATGCGGTGACGCTACGGCAAGAGCATGAAGACTCCACCCACAAGTTAAAAGGGCTAGAGAAGCAATGCAGAATATTAAGGCAAGAAAAGGAGGACCTTCACAAGGTACTAAGACAGGGAACGTGCTTCTGTTGTAGTGGCTGTGCCTGGGAACAGAGGCGGTATGACACTGGTAGACTCTCTTTTTCACTGTATTTGAGCAGCATATGGGCGGCATATATGGCTTACCCTTTGTACTCATCACTGCAGCATCTGATAGGCGCCTAAACTGTCACCTATCTGAGCCAGCAAGTTTCATAGAAGAAATAATATTCCAAAATGAGTGGTTAAGAATGTATAAATGGTGGGGGAAAGTTACTATGTATAAGACCTCCAAAACATGAATATAAATGTATAAAAAATGCTTGTGGCTATATAATACAAAACTAAATAAATAAAATATTTTTAAAAAGTTTCATAGCACACCACGCATATTTACTGAGGCTTTATGTGGGGATGAAATGGGAGGTTAAAAATAAGAGAGAGGCAAAATGAGGAAGGGAAGGAAGAGCTTGGTTGGAGGACTGGAAGAGGAAAGGCATACAAGGAAGACACTGCGAGGAGGTAGAGACAGAGTGTTAGAACCAGTGACCTGCAGATGCGAGGATCACAGATCTTTCTCATATTCCCCCCTCCCACCAGCTGTCCTTTCTGACCCTGGGAATAAACTTTCCCAGGGACGCAGGACTCCCATGGGCCATGGGGGTCAGGACGCTGCAGTGGGGAGGAGGTGAAATAGCCCTCTCCTCCCTCTTCTGTTGGTGGACCTGAGTGGATAGAAGAGGCACTGGGGTGATTTCATCCCCTTCCCCCTCTCCACTGCAGCCTTCTGGTACACACATGAACATACGAAGCTACCTAATACTGAATTAGCCCATTGGTTTGCCAAGGTCAGTGTTGTCTACTCAGACAGGCAGCAGCTCTCTGGGGTCTCACGCAGAGATCTTTCACAACACTTAGCACCTGATCCTTTTAGCTGGAGGTGCCGGGGATTGGAATTCGGGACCTTCTGCATTCCAAACAGATGCCCTGCCACCAAGCCACGGCCCCTCCCCACGTGGCTGCCCTAGGAGATACCTTTCCTGGGGTCTGAAAGGACTGCTGGGGTAAGGAGAGTGTAGGAAAGAGCCACAGCCACCAGTACCTTCTGCTGATGGGATCTCTGGATCCAACTCAGAGAAGTAACAGGAAGGCAATGAAAGAGGGGAAAGAGACAAATCAGGAGAAATGTAAAAAAAAGAAGCATCAATAGGTATCTAATATTGACACCAAATTATCAAGATAGCGGTGATGTTTGAATGCTGCTATCGAAATGCCAGCCACCTTGGGTGCGGGAGCACAACAAGGGAAGCGTACACAGCGTCCGGCTGTGCGTTTGGCATAAATTGCTGTTTGGTGTTTCATTAAGACTCAAGCCATTCTCAGACCACAGTTCTAAAAACTCGTTTGGACCGTTCTTTTTCGCCAGCAACTTGTGGAAGCCTCTGAACGGTTAAAGGGGCAGTCCAAAGAACTGAAAGATGCCCACCAACAAAGGAAGTTCGCCATGCACGAGTTTTCGGAGCTGAACGAAAGGATGGCAGACCTGCGCTCCCAGAAGCAGAAGCTCTCCCGGCAGCTCCGCGACAAAGAGGAAGAGGCGGAAGTGGTCATGCAGAAAATGGATTCCGTGAGACAGGAAATCCGTAAATCCGAGAAAGCAAGGAAAGAGGTATCTGTGCAGGGCGGGTAATGGACTTCAGTTGCTTGAAATGGTTGCCCTACGGGGTTCGTTCACTCATTTAAGCAGTTTTGGTTCTCCATGCAGTCCTCCCCTTGCTGTGTGGGGTTGTGTGGACATGTGTAACAAATGAACCACTTGCTCCGTCAATACACTGATAATGGGACCACAAGGCCACACTTTGCACTTCCACGGGCTTACTGTTTTCATCTCCCCTCCCCATCCACACACAAAAACAAAAGTTAAAAACGAAACGCAGTTAACTTTTTGTTAGAATTGTTGTAAGCCAGCAGAAGTCCTTTCCTTAAACAGATGTTTCTTAGATACCCAGTCTCTCTTTCATATTAGGCCATTTGTTTAATGTGTTTATTGGCTCCAGGTGTGCCTTTAAAACTACAGGTTTCAGTTAAAGCAAATTCATTCCCAAGATAGACAGTTCTGTCTTGGTTCCGAAAGAACCTTCGCCCATTACCAAATCGTATTTTGGGACATGGCAGAATGTTGCGAAGCTGGTAGTGTCCCTTGGTAAAGATGACAGAGCGGCCCAGATGTTTGCCCTCCACTCTTACACACACACACACACACACACACACACACACACACACACATGTTGCAGCTGATGGGAACTTGTAATTGTTGGCTTCTGTAGTTTCCCTTTTCCTTTTAATAAGGACTTCTTTCACAGAAGTGTCCCCTATTATTAATAAGCTGTGTAGCACTGGTAATTTCCCAAGGATTGACTTGTTAGGTGTTAAGGCTTTTAAACGTAACTAGCTCTTACTGGACCTCAGCTGCCTATTGAAAAAAATCAAGTCCAGGGCTCAGTAAGGTAGGGCAAATCACGGGGCCCACAGCAGGGAGGATGGCCCTTAAAGAGGCATAATTGTGCTCAAAAGGTTCCAGAGGTTACCGGCACAACATGCTCTAGTGCTGGTGACAATGCCTAAGCTAGGGTCTGTTTCTTGTTAATAAGCAGCCCTGTATTTTCCATTTGTAGCTGGAGGCCCAGCTTGATGACGCGCTAGCAGAAGCATCAAAGGAGCGCAAGCTTCGGGAGCACAGCGAAATTTTCTCCAAGCAGGTGGAGAGTGAACTGGAAGCGCTAAAGGTGACAGCGTTGTTGTTTTTTTTTAAAGATCCAAGCAATACAAAAACAAATTTTATTAATTGAGTGCTAGAAACCTGTGTGGTGGTATTGAGCATCTCTTTAGGAACAACTGGTCAGTGTTGCTCAGTGTAAACAGCCCAGAGTGGAAGGCTTGTATTCTGCAGCATGGCTTGTTCCAGTTATAGTGAGTCGCATGTGCTGGATGTGCCACATGATTCCTTCAGACCCGGATGGAAATGCTCTCAGTCTCACAGTGGGAAACAGCTGCCGATGGCGTTGAGTGTAAGACGCACGCCTCGCGGAGACTGCTTTACATTCCCGTCCTTGGGTCCGGTCATCTGCAGAGAGCGGCTTGCACTGTGCATCATGGGATTTTCTCTGTAGATTTGGACTGGCATGGGGAGAGTCCCGAAAGCCGCCGCGTGCAGAGAAAGCCTGCTGGCACGCTGACTGTTGGCACGAGAGGGGAATGAAGCAGCCCTGTGGCAGCCGTGAGCGTGCAGCATCCCAGAGCTGTGCTCTTGACAACTCTCACAAGATTTCACAGTTGTTTTAAAACTGCAACATAAATGACCTGGAATCCCAGGTGAGCAGTGAAGTGAGTTTCGCAGATGACACCAGAATGGTGAGAACTGGAGCAGATTTTGTGGGATCTCTGTGAACATGGTGCGACGACATGGGTAAAAGAGGTTCAGCAAAGAGTAAGCCTGGTGTGGTGGAGAGGGCGTCAGACTAGGATCTGGGAGACCCAGGTTCGAATCCCCACGCTGCCATGGAAGCTCGCTTAGTGACCCCGGGCCTGTCTCACGCACACTCTCAGCCTAACCTACCTCACAGGATTGTTGTGGGGGTAAAATGGAGGAGAGCAGAATAATGTGTTTGGAGTCCCCGTGGGGGGAGGAAAGCAGAGTATAAGTGAAGTAAGAAATAAGCGTCCAGTGTTGCACACTGAGGCAAAGAATTCTAACTTCATGTGTACATGGGTGCAATGCTCCTGGCTACTGCATAAATTAGTTTGCTCTGGAGCCATCCTTCCTGAGCTGAGACAAAAATGTGTGAGCCGGAGGCTAAAAAAACTGAGCTAGCTCACACTAACTCTGCTTAGAGGGGATACTGCACAGGTGGGATCTGGACAGATGGTGCCTGACCATGAAAGGTACATCAGGGAGGATGTGGATAGTTGCTTGGCAACATCAGCTCAGTGTGCATAAGTGGTGGGAAAGGCACAGACAGTAGTATCCTAATGCTCGTGTTTAGCTCCGTAGTGCAGCTGCATCTGGAATACGGGGGCCAGTTTTCTTTGCCCCCATCTCAAAGAGGACATCGTAGGGCTGGAAATATTACCAGAAAAGGCAGCCAGCTGGATGAAGGCACTTGATGAAAACAGTGGAGAGAGCACTTTTTCTCCTTCTCTCATAATAGCATTCAGAGGTCATTTCGTAGAAAAAGAGGTGCAGGAGCTCATTAGCGTAACTCATTCGCATAACTTATTTGCATATGCCACACCCCCTGACATCACCGGAAGTGTGTCAGAAGGCAACACCCACTGCTCAGGCTCCACTGGACTGTTTTGGATTGCTAGCTATTGGCGGAGGGGGGGGGGAGTGCAGATATGTCCTCGCAGAGGAGGGAGAGCTTGTACCTGAATAAAACTTGGTCTTAAAGGTGCCACTGGACTGTTTTGGACCAGAGGGCCGGGGGGAGCTCTGCAACTTACCTGGCTGCTTCTTGCTGTGACTGAGGGCTGCTGGGAGCAGGGGGTGGGGCTTGTTGCATGTGCCCGCCCCCTGGACTCTTTACTGCCGGAGCTCCGCTCCTGCAGGAAATGACCCCTGATAGCATTCAGGGGCACCCAATAAAGGGCAGTGGGTTCAGGGCAGACCAGACAAAGTATTTCTTTGCTGAGAGTAATGAACTTGTTGGACAAGATGTCCTCACGCCCCTAGCATAAAGAGATGGGGGGGGACACACACGGAGGATAGGTCTGTCCCTTAGCCGCTAGCTAGCTAAGTAGAACCCCCATGTTCAGAGGTAGTATACCCATACCGTGCCGATGGCTGGAGCTGCAGTAACAGGAGAGGGGCCTTTAGCCTCTGTTTCACCGCTTGCCTGCATTCCAGGGTATGTAGTCGGCCACTGCAAGACCCAGGATGCGGAACGAGGTGGGCTGCTGGGTCTGAGCCCACAAGGCTCATCTTACATTGTGTTCTCGATCCTTGGCGATCAGTCCGTGCTTACATTTCTGGGCGGTGTTGCTTCTGAATGCAAACTGTACATGTTTCAGTGTTGCCCTCTTTTTAAAAACCTTTGTGCACCTGGGGGGGGGAGAGAAAGGCTAGGTTGGAACATTTCTCCCTGGTGTGCTAATTTCTATGCACTGGGGATTTTTTTCCCAAACTCAGAGGAGCATTCAAATACGTGAGTTTTGCAGCCGCAGAATGGTGTGGTGTACCCACAGGTGGGATTACGCAACATGATTTCTGCATGCATGAGTCTGCTTCCAGTTAATTGTTTTCAGAGAGATCGGAATGGGACAAAACAAAGGAAGGAGCCGTCTTCAAGATATACTGAAACTAAGCAACATGTATGGGTCACAGTCATTCTAGCCGTGGGGAAAATTTTAAAAAGCCATAGTCCGATTTGTGCTGAAGTCGTGCTAAAGTTTAAATAGATGGAAGAATGACTCCTTGTCGGTTTTTGCTCTTCTGCAGCTGAAGCAGGGGGGCCGTGCTGCGGGGGCCATGCAGGAGCATCAGCAGGAGCTGGCCAAAATGAAGTCAGAGCTCGAGAAGAAAATCTTGTTCTACGAGGAGGAGCTGGTCAGGCGAGAAGCATCCCACATCTTGGAAGTCAAGAACGTGAAGAAGGAAGTGCACGATTTAGAAAGCCACCAGCTAGCACTACAGAAAGAGATCCTGATGTTAAAAGACAAACTGGACAAGGCCAAGAGAGAGAAGTAAGTTCTGTATGCAGCACTTCTTTCGAAAATGTGGTTTTTCTCCCCCTTGAGTATGTGGAATCCAAGAACCAAAGAGGAGATATGCACCCACCTCCCTAAAAAAAAATTTGGTGATCGTAGTCCCTTTTTAATCCTCCTGGGAAAGGGGTTTTTATACGATCTTCTTTCACTCTTAGGCACAGCGAGATGGAAGAAGCGGTGGGAACTCTGAAGGAGAAATACGAGCGGGAGAGATCCATGCTCCTCGAAGATAACAAGAAAATAACAACCGAAAACGAAAAGGTAATTGACACAACTTGAGATAAAGCACAGTTAACCTTTTTCATCAGTCATAGCTGGCAATTAATTTATTTCCTTGAAATGTTGTTATAAAACCTTGGACTCAGTGCAGACAAGTATTTGGTTTTTTTTAATGATTGGTATCTCTAACTGGTGGGGAGGAAGATTATTCTCACTGGCCCAAATGGGAGATTACAGTTTTGGGCAAATAAAATGCATCCCCTCAGTTACCAAAACTGAACAAGAATGTGCTGTTGAGTAGCAGCCATAGAATCACAGAGTTGGAAGGGGGTCCTACGGGCCATCTAGTCCAACCCCCTGCTCAATGCAGGATCAGCTTAGAGCATCCCTCACAAGGGTTTGTCCAGCTGCTGCGTAAAGACTGCCAACTCATGGTGACTCCAACCATTGGATGTTCAAGGCAAGAGACGTTCAGAGGTGGCTTGCCATTGCTTTCTTCTATGTAGCAACTCCAGTCTTCCTTGGTGGTTTCCCATCTAAGTACTGACCGTGGCCAAAGCTGAAGTTGCTAGTAATGCCTTTTGCTTAAAGGACAGTTTGTATGTATGTGCACCCTGCCACCTGCAGAGCTGTTCTTAATTTGCCTCTTTGAAACGTCTTTGGGATACATTGTGGGGTGTCTTGCCCCCCTACCCCCCCCCCCAGAGTTGTTGTGAGCCAGGAAATGACTTTGGTGTGAAAACCACTGCTTCTGTCATTGCAGCTTTGTTCCTTTGTGGATAAACTTACAGCGCAAAACAGGCAGCTCGAGGATGAGCTTCAGGATTTGGCGGCAAAGAAGGAATCTGTAGCCCACTGGGAAGCTCAGATTGCAGAAATTATTCAGTGGTACGTGCAGTTTGGAGAGCCTTCTGAAAAAATACATTGGAGCCTCATTAATAGAAGCAAATCTCCCGGGGGAACAGAGACAGGCGTTCTCGCAGATGATATGCTTCAAAAAATTCACACGCGTCTGCAAATATTGATTGATGTGCCCGGTCCTTCCTGTTTTTATTACTCTTACAGGAGCTTATTAACCTTGCGGGTCAACTGATTCACCAAAGCGCGGATGTCTAGGTCATACATTAAAGATTACTTAATATTAATTTAAAAGGTTGTAACCATGGTGTTCATCACTTTTCTTGCATTTTGCTTTTCCCCCCCTTCGTTTTCTAAGGCATCTGTCTTGTATCCCTGCATGGATTTGTATCCTTCAAGTGGACTCCCCCCCCCCAATCCATATTATAACATGGGCATAAGGGAGAAGTTGTGTCATTCAGTAGTTATCACTTATCACTGCTCCTATACAGTAGCCCCAACATAGTGCCATGGGTACTGTGGTGTCTGCTGATGGGTGTTGTGGTGCCCACTGCCTTCTTTCCCCAGTCATCCCTTTCCTGTACTTCACTGTAGTAAGAGCACTTCACAAGAGTCATCATCTTTGCGTCTTCAGGGAGCACCCATTTAGAAACAGCTGCCTCCATTCTAGGAGAATGCTTGGCTTGGGATCTCCCAAGATTCCGTGTGTCATTGGGCCTGGTCCCCGTGGCAGTCATGTCGTGGCAGTGCCCACCACCTGTTCTGAAAATCCAAAAGGGCCCACAGGTTTAATAACTGTTGACAGTCCCAGACGTTCCCACAGCTACATCCCGCACAGTTGCAATGAGGGGAAAAAAGTGTTTTCTTGGCAACTAAATGATACGATTGGGAAAATGAAAACTTCTCTGCAGCAGACTGTGTTGCCTCGACGAAAATGGCAGGGAATGGTCAAAAATCACAGGATGCGGTTCTGCAGATCTGGCCTTTTAAAACTGCCTGGTTGAAAACTACCTTTAACCCATGTGTAAGAGGCTTTGGGCTCTTAGGAAGAAAGTGGGGTATTAGTAAAACAGAAGTTGACGTTGGCTCCCACAAAATGAAATATTAGCGAGAGTGGCAGGGGAGGGGCTGTGGCTCAGTGGCAGAGCATCTGCTTTGCACGCAGAAGGTCCCAGGTTCAATCCCTGGCATCTCCAGTCAAAACAGTCGGGTGGTGGGTGATGGGGAAGACCTCAGCGTGAGACCCTGGAGAGCTGCTGCTGGTCTGAGTAGACAGTACTGACCTTGATGGGCCAAGGCTCTGATTCAGGGTAAGGCAGCTTCTTGCGTTGTTCATGTGGTTGGCTTAAAAATAATTAGACAGGCTTCTGAATTCGGGGAAACTGTTTTCAGCTAGAAGGTCCAGCTTGGGGCTTCAGCTGTGGGGTTCGCTACCCTTGCCGTGTGCTGCTTCCCTGGGTTTAGCCACTGGAATTTTTCATGCAAGAACACACCACTGTGTTGCTGGTTGTTAATCTGTTTGGGACTGGTTAGTAGCGTGTGCGCTTGCATAGGCTTTTCACATGCGCAGCTCGGTAAAGGAGTGACTCGTGTGTTTTGAACACCAGGGTGAGCGATGAAAAAGATGCACGAGGGTATCTTCAGGCTCTGGCGTCTAAGATGACAGAAGAACTTGAATCGTTGAGAAGCTCCAGTCTGGGATCGAGAACACTGGTAAGCGTCGCCCGTCAGGCAGTCCCAGTCCAAGGTGCCTCCGACGCTTGGCACTCATCGGACTAGTGAGGCCTCTTAAAAACGGAAGCCCGTGCCGTGCCGAAAGAACAGTCAGCCCCCTCCTCCTCCTCCCTCCTTGATGCGTTCCCTCATCCCAGTTTTATTTTGCTTGTGAATTCCAGCATTGCGGCCCAGTCAACAACTCGATCCGCTCTGTGTTTGTTTCACTTCCTGTTGCAGTTGCATATCCTGCGACCAGTACGAGAATAAAGGCAGCAGTCGGTAAACGTTAAGCCTGTTGCTCGGAGGGTTGGCCTCTGTCATGGCATCCCTGCTAATCCTGGCTAGAGAAGCTTCCCAGCCCCAAACCAGAGCAAAATCTTGGCCATGACAACCTTTGTTGGGAACAGGGAATAGATTGGCTCAGGCATTTCACGTCTTCCCTGGCAGGATATTGACTTGAATTGGCATAAGGGAAAAGAATTGTTTCTCCCCGGGCGGAAGCCAAAGGAAGGGCGAATTCCAGAGTCGGTTTCCTTCCTGGTAGGATCCTAGGGGCAGGGCCACCGTTTACTGGCCCCATAACTCAGTGGGGACCGCAGGGTGACACAAATCCACCGCTCTTTCATATCCTAATGCTTTAATGAGTAGGGGAGAGTGGTCTGTTTGCAAAGAATAGCTGATTAAAAAAGCATACACAGTGAAGTGGATTTTGGCAGATCATCAATTCAGTAATTGCCTCTTTTGAAGCGAATTTTACATCAGTATATTGAAACGCCGCACAGCAGAACTTCACCTCATATGCCTTTTGAAAGCTTCTTCTGGCTTTATTTGTTTTCCTATATTTAAATCCTGTGCCTGTGAGCTCACCAAGGGAGCCAGGGGGGGGGGCAGTATCTCGATCAGTTCCATCTGACGGGGGCGGGAGAGCGCTAGTCAGCTTTTGCTTTAACTTTGACACGTTTTCGGCTAATAAAAAGTTGGGGGGGATTACTTTTATGACTTCCGGTGCAACTTCTGAAGAGATTTAATGTTTTATACGTATGATCCCTGCTTCAGACTTACTAGCAATTGCTTTTGCCTGCGACAGGATCCACTCTGGAAAGTAAGACGCAGTCAGAAGCTGGATATGTCAGCGAGGCTGGAATTGCAGTCAGCTCTGGATGCAGAAATACGTGCCAAACAACTAGTCCAGGAAGAATTGCGAAAGGTTAAGGATGCCAACCTGTCCTTTGAGAGGTAATTATGTATTTTGAGATCTTCCCCCCCCCACTCCCAGCCTCTTCCACAGGATTGTTCTAGTGCTGGAATGGACTGTGACATGCCTCTTTCTGGCAGAGAGGCGATTTTTATATTATCACTTTTTTTAAATTAACGCTTTGACATTTTTGAGAATACCCGTGTTTTGGGGGAGTATAAAAATCAAATAAGCAGCCCCGAGTCTTGTGTTCACATTACAATGTAAATTTAATATACTTAGATCTGGTGCTGACACAAAGTTCCCAAACCAATTAGTCGCGGCCAATGTTCCCTCTAATCTGTGGAGTCTTGTGGGCAAAAATTGTACTTTGTGAGCAGCTGGCATTTAAAGTTGTGAGCCAGCGATTTGGCCACTGCATAAATTAGTTTGCTTTGAAGCCCTCCTTCCTGAGCTAAGACTAAGAGCCGGAGGCTAAGAAATGGTGAGCCAGCTCACACTAACTCACCTTAGAGGGAACACTGGTCGGGACTATGAGATTGAAAGATTAGTGCATTCCTTTGTCCTACCCCTCCCTTCTATAAGCATGACCTTCCCTGTACCCTAAACTATGGTTAAGGGTTACAGCTATATTTTTAATTAACATTTTTATGCACTTTTCCACCAAGTTTGGGTTCTCACCACGGTAAACAATTAAACTTTAAAAACTGGAGGGAAGGAGGGAGAGAGAGAGATTTTAAAGTTTAATTGTTCACCACGGTGAGAATCCACACTGGGTGGAAAAGCTGCATAAATATAAAAAAATAAGTCATATGTATATAAAAACTAAAATTAAAAACATAAATAGGAATTGGGGGCAGTGTTCCCTCTAAGCAGAATTTGTGTGAGCTAGCTCAGTTTTTTAGCCTCCGGCTCACACGTTTATGTCTTAGCTCAGGAAGGATGGCTCCAGAGCAAACTAACCTATGCAGTAGCCAAATTGCTCACTCACAACTTTAATGCCAGTAGCTCACAAAGCAGAATTTTTGTTCACAAGACTCCACAGCTTAGAGGGAGTATTGATTGGGGGGGTCAATAAGAGAACACTAAATGAAACAAAAAGGTTTTTACCTCCCGGCAGAAGACAATGATAAAAAAAAAATCTCCCTGGAGAGGGAATTATGCAGCTTTGGTGCCACAACCAGGAAGGCCCTTTCTCAGGATGCCATACGGGGGTACCCGAAGCAAGGCCCCCAAAGATTGACTCTAATAGTTAGGTATGCTGTTCCCAGGCCCTGTGGGTTTTTAAAGGACAATACCCAGCATCTTGAATTGGTTCCAGGAGCAAACTGGAAGTCAGTGTAGATGGAACAAGACTGGATTGATAATCTTCCCCATGACCCACTCTAGTGAATAATCTTGCCACAGCATTCTTTAGAGATTGTAGTTTCCTGCCACTCTTTAAGGGCAGCCCAAACTGGTAGAAGGCGCTTCCGCTGCTACCTGCTTATCCAGCAGCACCCCCAAACTAAAAACTTGTGCCTTCAGAGAGGAGTGCAACCCCATCTAGAACAGGAGATACCTCAGTTCCTGGGTCAGTCCTTCTGCCCACCACCAGCACTTTTTCCTTGTAATCTTCAATTTATTGACCCTCACCAATCCCAGAACGTCCTCCAGGCACCCTTTCGAGGTTTCCACAGTCTCCTTGGGATTCAATGGAAGCATATGGGATATTGCTGGCAACCCATCTCATATCTCAGGATGACCTCATCTAATGTTTTCATGCAGAGCCTAAAAAGCACGGGGGATAAGGTGAAACCTGGTAGGATTCCAGAGACCAAGGGTCCAAGCAGCAGTCCCTCAGTACCACCTTCTGAAACCTACCTTCCAATTAGGGTCAAAATCACCATGAAATGATGGTCTCAACCTCAAAAGGTGGCCCAGAAGAATACCGTTTTGAAAGCCACTGAAAGGTCCAGAAAAGCTAGCAGGTCACACTCCTCCCTCTAGCCATCTCTCAGCACGGGTCATCAGCCAGAGTTACCAAGGCTGTTTCAGTCCCATAAACAGGCCTGGAACCAGATTGGAAAGGATCCAAGCAATCTACTTCATCTAGGAACCCCTGAAGTTTTCCAGCCATCACTTGTTCCATCACCTTGCCTAGGAATGGTACATTTGAGACCGTATGATAGTTACTCGAGTCTCCTGGGTCCAGAGTAGGTTTGTTTAGTCTGAAGTTTTCCAGCCATCACTTGTTCCATTACCTTGCCTAGGAATGGTACATTGGAGACCGTATGATAGTTACTTGAATCTCCTGGGTCCAGAGTAGGTTTGTTTAGCGGTGGATGGCCCACCACCTGTGTCCAAGTGGGGGGAAAGACCGTGGGGGTAACTACCCCCTCTCTTGAGGCATTTGCTGTCTCCCAGACCCAGTTGATCCCCCCCCCAAAAAATGCTCCCTTTAAGCCATGGAGTCTTGTGAGCAAAAGTTCTACTTTGTGAGCTACTGGCATTAAAGTTCTGAGCGAGTGATTTGGCTACTGCATGAATTAGTTTGCTCTGGAGCCCTCCTTCCCAAGCTAAGACAAACAATGTGTGAGCCGAAGGCTAAAAAAACTGTGGGCTAACTCACACTAACTCAGCTTAGAGGGAACACTGGGCTGTTTGTTGTGTTTGGCAAACCCCAGGGACCACCAATTTGACTATCAGAACTCCCTTCCCCTAAAATTCAGGGTAATCCTTCTACTTCTCAACCCCTTTTAGATTAAATGTTATGCTGAATAAGTGTAGTACCAGTGGCCTTCCTTCTGAACTGACAAATTTGACCATTATCTTTCCCATTAGCAGCCAGGAAACAGCCCCTGTTGACCTACACGGATGCGTCCTAATAACCACTTTACAAGTATTATACTCTTGTTAGAAAAGGCTTTTGCTTCGGTCTGTTGCAATATAATTTGCCTTTCCTTTTGGCGTGCAATATGTAGTGCCACATGTGACTCGTAGCAGATTTCCTGAGGTAGCGATTCTTAATTAAAAAAATAATATCATGTAAGATTTGATTTGAGTTAGCTTCTTTGCACATACACAGAAAGCAGAGGGGTGGGGATGTCATTAGTGCTTTTAGTTGGTTTCCTGTTAATGGCCTGGTCAAAATATGATTTATTTATTGTGTGGTGGGAAGTGCTGTCAAATCACAACTAACTTCCGGCAATTCCATAGGGTTTTCGAGGCAAGAGACAAATAGAGTTGGTTTGCCATTGCCTGCCTCTTCTTCAGTGATCGTCCATCGAAGTTCTAGACAGGGCCAATCCTGCTTAGCTCCCATGATCTGACAAGATTGGGCTACCCTGGGCCATGTCATTTTTTGTTTATTTATTGTACTGTCCTAATAATCATTTTCTTACCATCCAATTGATTGTATATCTAATGCTGAATATTCTCCTCCCCCTGAAAGGGGGGGTCTACAAACTTGGGGGAATCCCCAGTTTGCAAAAGAATCTAAAAAGGTTGGGTGTACGGCAACGCTCCCTCTAAGCTGTGGAGTCTTGTGAGCACAAATTCTACTTTGTGAGTGACTGGCATTAAAGTTGTGAGCGAGCGATTTGGCTGCTGCATAAATTAGTTTGCTCTGGAGCCATCCTTCCTGAGCCAAGACAAAAACGTGTGAGCCGCAGGCTAAAGAACTGTGAGCTAGCTCACACTAACTCAGCTTAGAGGGAACACTGGTGTACAGATGTTAAAAAAACCCACTTCAGTCTATTGGCACTGCAGCTTTAAAAGAGGATGCTGACAAGCTCGAGCGTGTCCAGAAGAGGGCAACCAGGATGGTGAGAGGGTTGGAATCCAAGTCTTAGAGGGGACATGATTGCAGTCTTCAAGTATTTGAAGGGCTGCCATGTAGAAGATGGAGCGGATCTATTCTCTCTTGCTCCGGATTGCAAGACTAGATCTAATGGGTGGAAATTACAAGGGAGTCGTTACCGGCTAAATATCAGGAAAAACTTCCTAACTCTAAGGGTGGTTGAGCAGTGGAACAGTCTGCCTCGGGAGGTGGTGGATGCTCCTTCGCTGGACGTTTTCAGGCGGAGGCTGGACGACCATCTTTTGGGTATGTTGTAGGTATGTAGGGCTATCTTTCAGCTATGTTCCTGTAGAGTGCAGGGGGTTGGACTAGATGACCTTCAAGGTCCCTTCCAACTCTAACATTCTATGATTCTATTCTATGATTCTATGAGAACGAGATCTTGCCATGTGAAATGTCAGACACCGTTTGGGGGCTGCTTGTTGACCCCCATAAGCATTGCCAGGGCAGAAGGAAGCAAAGAAAGCATCACGGGACAGAGGTGGATGCTGCTGAGGTGAGAGAGAGGGCAACAAGAGGCAGGGGGTGGGAAAGAAGTCAGGCAGGCAGGCAGAAAGCAGGTGGTCGGTGGGGTGAAGATGCCAGTTGGCAGCTGGGGATGGAGTAATAGGGAAAGGCAGGCGGCAGTGGCTCCAGTCAGAGAGGGAAGGCAGCATCGCAGGGGTGTGTGCGGGGAGGGGGGGGGGCGAAAGAGAAGGATCAAGAAGGGTCAACGGCAGAAGGGTCTGTGCATGAAAGTAAGAAGCAAGGGCCAGCGAATAAGTGGGGGTTTCCTCTCTCCCCCCCGCACAAGTTCCTCATGTGCCCCCTATTCAGATATCAGGCACTGGAATGTGATCTAACGTCATTCTATGATTCTATTCTGTGATTCTATGAGAATGAGATCTTGCCGTGTGAAATGTCAGACACCGTTTGGGGGTTGCCTGTTGACCCCCATAAGCATTGTCAGGGCAGAAGGAAGCAAAGAAGGCATCACGGGACAGAGGTGGCTGCTGCTGAGGTGAGAGAGAGGGCAGCAAGGGGCAGGGGGTGGGAAAGAAGTCAGGCAGGCAGGCAGAAAGCAGGTGGTCGGTGGGGTGAAGATGCCAGGTGGCAGCTGGGGAGGGAGTAATAGGGAAAGGCAGGCAGCAGTGGCTCCAGTCAGAGAGGGAAGGCAGCATCGCAGGGGTGTGTGCGGGGAGGGGGGGGCAAAGAGAAGGATGCAGCAGGGTCAACAGCGGAAGGGTCTGTGCATGAAAGTGAGAAGCAAGGGCCAGCAAATAAGTGGGGTTCCCCCCCCCCCGCACAAGTTCCTCATGTGCCCCCTATTCAGATATCAGGCACTGGAATGTGATCTAACGTGACCAGAAGATTTCTTTTTTGGGGGGTGTTCTTTTGCCGTATAACTATCTCCCCATTCAGCCCCAGGGTTCTGTTTAACTAGAAAGCTTATTTAATCTTAATGCCAGTAATTTTTAGAGTTTCTTTTGAAGCTTATCAGGCATTTCTTCAAAGTGATGATTAATAATGCCAGGCAAACTCCCCTCTATTGCTAATAACCCTCCCCTGCACCGTGGAGCCACAGAAGAGCGGCAGGCATGTTCTCAGTGCATTCTTGGTTTCCTCTGGGTGCAAGAGGACGCAATAAGTCTGGCTGGCCAGTGTATGGCACAAACTGACTATGGACCACTGTTCTCTCTAAGCTGAGTTAGTGTAAGCCAGCTCAGTTTTTTAGCCTCCGGCTCACACATTTTTGTCTTAGCTCAGGAAGGGTGGCTCCAGAGCAAACTAATTTATGCAGGAGCCAAATCGCTCGCTCACAACTTTAATGCCAGCAGCTCACAAAGTAGAATTTCTGCTCACAAGACTCCACAGCTTAAAGGGAACATTGCTATGGACCCTAGAATATGTCCAGGGATGCTCAGCCCTGGATGTTGTCCTGCGGCTGTTGCTTGGAGGTTCCTCAGCAGAGACGTTGACGTGGAAAGCATTCCCTTGAAAGCCCAGCTGCTGCTTCAAGACTGCCAGTAAGGGGGAGCTCACCACCACCTCCCTAGGCAGCTGATTCCACCGTTGCACAACTCTTATTGCAGAAATAATTTTTTTCCCTAATATCCAGCTGGTACCTTCCTGTCCTTAATTTAAACCCATTATTGTGAATAGAATCATAGAATCACAGAGCTGGAAGGGCCCCTACAGGCCATCTAGTCCAGCCCTCTGCCCAATGCAGGATCAGCCTAGAGCGTCATCCCTGACAAGTGTTTGGTTTGCCCCAACAGTTTAGGGGCTAATGAGTAATTGAGGAAGGGGGCACGATTTTGAGCTATAACCTGCTCCTCATTCTCTCTGTTCTTGATTGTAAACTGTCAGGGGATGGAGCAGAGTAACCACCCCCACCCCTTTGTTGTCCTTCAACAGGCTTTTAGTTCCTCTTGACATTCTGGGCCTCCTGTCTCAGGCAGTTATCAAGTAGGGTTGCCTGAAGATCTCCTAAAATTACAACTGATCTCCAGACTACAGAGAAGAGTTTCCCTGGAGGAAATGGCTGCTTTGGATGACGGACTGTATGACATTACACCCTCTGATGTCCCTCCCCAAATCCCCCTCTCCAAGGCCCCCCAATTTGCCATTAAAAATTTTCTAATCCAGAGTTGGGGACCCCAGTTCTAAAGAGTTTTGTCATATTTTGTAGCAGAACCTCCTTGATTGGGGACTGGTGTTGTGTGTATTTGAGTTTGCAGCCTTTAGAATCCATGAAGGGCTTGGATTTCCCTTAGAGTCAGAGCTTCCTGTTCTAGCAGGTGTTCAGTTAACTCTTGTCGTATGATTAAACTGAATTTCCTGGGCGTTTAGTAATTCTGAGACAGCTGGGGAAGTAAAAGAAGGATGCTACTGCAGCTCAAAGAGCTTGGGAGGAGTCACTGAAGACAAAACGCAGGCACTGGCCTGTGTTGGTTTATCACTTTATTTATTTATTCAACTCCTAGACTGCCCTCCCTCTAAGCAGGGCTCAGGGTGGTGTGCAACATTTCCGATGCAACATTTGCAATCAGTCAGTCAGGTAGCCTTATTGGCATAAAACAATACCTTAAAAGAGGATTACTATAAAAAAATAGACATATAAAACCATACATATAAAACCAAGTATTTTGCAAACTACATAATATTGTGTAATGTTACATAAAACAATTTGCAATCAAGTTAAAAACAATTAAGCCCAAAACAGTTGCGGATGACGCTTAAAACAGACCAGTTTGTATCTTTACCCCGTGGGGGGGGGGGAAAGGGGGGGGGGAGCCAGGCTAGATGGAAAACCATCGCTGTCCTCAACCATAAGCCTGGCACAACTCCTCCATCTTACAGCCCCCCCCCCCCCGAATTGTACTAAGTCCCGCAGGGCACGAAAGTCATTCAGCAAAGAGGTCCACCAGGTCAGCACCAAGGTCAAGGAATCCCTGGCTCTGGTTGAGGACAGATGGATATTTTTCAGGCCAGGGATCACTAGTGGATTCTTCTCCCCTGAGCATAATGCTCTTTGGGGGGGGGGTATACCAGGGGAGGTAGTCCCATAGATCTGTTGCTCCCAGATCATGTAGGGCAGAGGTGTTGAGAACTCATTTGTTACAAGGGCCGGATCTGGCATAAACGTTGCTTTGTCACGCTGGGCCTCGTGTCCCATAAAATGTAATGGCCGGTACCAGAGATATAAACTTTTTAAAGGACTGTAGCTAGTAAGCTCTGAGTTGGTGTGTCCTCATTGCAAGGGCCTGTGGGCTGGGGGGTAAACCCGCATGGGCAGTCAGGAAAGCCAGCGGTGCTGTGCTGGGCAGATGCTCCTGCGCTGCCCGGAGGGGAGGCAAAACCCTTTCCCCAGCCTGCTCCCAACCCTAATGCTGTGAGCCTGGGCTCCAGGGTAAAAATGGGAAGTGGCTGGGTGTGGCATACGCCCCGCTGCTCCCAAGCCCCCATGGAAGAGGACTGGGAAGACAAGTTGAACTAACCCCCCTGCCTGTGGGAAGTGGAGGGCCCAAGGCCACATGCACGGGAAGACTCAAGCCAAGCAAACCCCGATAAACCGGAGACGCCTGTGCGGCAGTGGCTGCCTCCAAGGCTGCCAGGTGATCCATGGCGGGGTGATGCTGGAGGTTCAAGCCAGAGATCATTGGCAAGCCGTGCCACCCCCATGCAGCGGTGGCTGGCAAAGGCTGCTGGATCATCTGATGGGGGAGTGGGCACCATGTGTACAAGGCAGAGGCCCAAGGTCACTTAGCAACCAGTATAACCAGAGCTCGCTGGCACGCTCCCCCCCCCTGTGAGGCAGCAGCTATTGGGTGGTCCCTGAGGGAGGGAGGCCCAGCCACTGAGTCGCGTGCTCTGCGAGAGGTCTGGGCCCCCAATGTGTGTTAGAAGGTGCAGAAGAATGCCCCCCATGGGCCAAAGCACAGCTGCTGCATGGGGGGAGGGGTGCAAATATGGCGGCGGTGCTGGCCACCAGCAGACACCAACAGAAGATTATCTGCATCCCCCCATATGCAAGTGCCAATCCCCGCAGCCATCTGGGACGGCATCCCCAGAGCTGCAGGGCAAGCAGAAACGCATGCAACCTCACTTTGGAACCCCACGCCGGCATGAATGTGGCTGCAGTGGCTGCCAACTTACCAGTGAGGCTGCCACTGAAGCAAAGTGGTTCTGCTTGATTGCTGCAGATGAGGTTGAAGCCACAATCAGACTGGCTCCGCCCTCCCACAGCAGCCTCCTGTTCCCTCCCTCACACCAGTTGCGTGTGGGCCAAATAAGAGCCCTGGACGGGCCGGTTCCAGCCCCCAGGCCTTATGTGTGACACCCCTGGTTCAGGGCCTTGAAGGCTAGTACCAAAACCTAAAACCTGAGCCAGTGCAGCTGGTGAACCACCGGTTGAATGTGCGCTGTCAGTGGGAGGTCAGTGGGATTCCATGCCGCTGCACTCTGGACCGGTTGTCGTTTCTGGGTCAGTTTCAAGGGTAGCCCTATGTAGAGCAAGTTATAGTAGTGTAGTCTGGAGGTGACCATTATGTGCATTTACTGTGACTAAGTCAGGAGGACGAGACAGGAAAGGGGCCAGTTGCCTGATCTGGTGCAATTGAAGAAACGCCAGTCTGGCAACATTTGTGACATGGGTCTCCATCGATAAGGAGGCATCCAGAAACACACTCAGGCTCTTGACTATCGGTGCCAGTGTTAGAGGCACACCATCAAGAGCTGGGAGTTGGC